TTTGTATAGGCCAACCTGACCAATAGAAAACTGCCTGCTACCACCCTGTGGTGTTCGGAATAACGAAGATCCACTGTATTATGTCTATAATGTTTTAGTCAGAGGATCGTGGGATCTAATTCCTAACAATGTGTAAACTACTTTCAGTTTATTTCACTCAATCAGGTAATTAAGGAGATGAGATAAATTAATTATAATTAGACATAATTCGTATGAATTATTGAGAATATAACATCACTATGACCCGAATCCTATCAAAGAATTAGTAAACCAAAATTCACTCTTACTTATGAGTCTTATTAGCAAATTAAATCTCACAATAGGTATATTAGGATACTAAGATATTCCTTATGTGTAGGCTGATCAATATAAATATAATTCAAGTTACGTTGTGGTTATATTTATGAAATTAATTTATTCTTTTTCTTAAACCTTCAATACAAATCTATTATACACGCCGGAATGGGTGGATTAAGAAAAATGGAATTCGCTGTTTAGAACCTCCCTATTACACCTAATCAATCTGTAATTACAGAATATATAAAGAGTAGCACTGTAGATTATGCCATAAATTATTCACATCAGCAAATATTAATATTTTGCTAATGATTGCTCAGTATTAACTAAAATTAACTAAAATTAACAAATAATTAACAAATAACATTATCTGCATACTTCAATCAGTTAGCCTATAGTCAGGGTAGTGGGAGTATTTTGGTGTTTTGTGAAATTGTAGTCACAAATATTAAAATCTAATTCAAATAAACAAGACTGTGAAAACAAACTAATCAACATCTTCTAGAACACTTTCTGCTAGGAAGAGATCTTGATCAATTTCCACAGTTTCAAATCCATTTTCAATTGGTTTAGGTTCAAAACTAAGCTGGCCTATATTCAAATCTGGGTCATCACTATCATCATCATCATCTGTAGAGTCCTGGTAATGTTGGAATGTTAGCTCTGTAGGAGATATATCTTCAAGGGGTATGATGTCATCAGGGTCTGGTGGGGGTAGGTATACTGTAGTGTCAGCACCTTCATCATCTTCTATCACCATGTCTGGGTTGAATGAGAACATTTCACGACCTGTCACTCCAGCTGTCTTCCCTGTCTTAAAGTTTTCCTTTTTCTTCGCAGACTCTTGTATCGATTTAATCTCAGCTTCTTTCCTCTTCTGCATTTTCCAAATATTGAATGATTCCTCAGTAACAAGTGTCGAATCTTTTGAAGATAGAGCAGCTCTCTGCTTCTCAACAAGTTCCTCTATAGATAACTCATCTTCTTTCTGAGCTTCCATTGCTTTCTTCTCTCTTTGCAGGATATAACCAGGTGGGAGAGCATGTCTGTATTTACAGGTGGGACCATTCGGACATGTCCAAAACCACCCGTACAAACTGCGCTCTACTGCGTCTAGGAAATATTTACAAATTATTGTTGTTTTGTTCGTTACTTTGCCATCTTTACTTTGATGTTTTTCTGAGACCACTCTCTCTAGTTTTTCCTGATCCCATTTATCCATGGTATCATCCGCCAAAGTATCCTCATCTACTTCTCTGAGATCAACAAATGCGCTTCTTTTTGCAGATTTATTCCTCTCAAGAGAAAGATCGTGCGAAAACTTACACTTTGTACCCTTTTTACATTGTCCCTGCTTGAAGAACACACAAACCATGGATTTAGGATCAGCGCCAGCTGATATAGTTTGTATTTTAACAACAGGCTTGAATAGTAATTTCAATTCCTCTTCTCTCTCCTGTAGCATTTCTTTATTAGATTTCTTCTCAGCATCTGATTTTAATTTCTCTTTATATTCCTTACCACTATATTTAACCTGTGTTGTAACGTTTTTAATGTAGTGTTGTTGTTTCTTGCTACTTTTATTCTTCAGGCCGAATGTTTTATCTTCTATAATTCTATCTTTTTGCTTGTCTACTGTCTTCTTGGATGGTTGTTGTTGTTTCTTTGGAGGCATCTTTCACACACTTAAATATTTATAATTAAAATTGTATTATATAGGAATTGGCTAAACTTAGAATTCCGGTAAGGGTACCCAAATAATTCTTCTGAAAGTGCCGGCAGCAGGGTCCAAGCCCGTTGGATGTTGTTATACGTCAATTTGAGGCATGCCTAGTTGAGTTATTGGAGTGGGAATTTGGACTTTGCCGTTGCGGCCAATTTAAGAGAAGAACACTGGCCCACGAGTTGATAGTATAGTGTAGTTGGCACAGTAAAATTTGGATGCCCCATTGCCAGCACTGTAGAGTATAGCCACATCCATAAAAGAAACTAATGCAATATTTTAATTGTGACCAATTGAACTAGATAATTGATATAATAATTCCACTACAATGTAATTCTAATCAAAAAGGTTATTAATTTCTAATGATTCTATTACTTCGGTTTGGTTCTGAACATCTGCTGATAACCGTCTATTTCTGCTTGTTCAAATTTCCTGAATAGTGGCAAAGGCGTGCCTATCTCGTGTCCTGGTGAGATGAATTTAGCAAACTCCACAGGAATTAGAGTAGAGTTATTCGGTATATTTAGTTGTTGCCGAATTGCTTCACAAGTATTGGGCATATAAGGTTGTAACAGTACCATCACGAGACACACTAAATTAACAGATAAATTCATTATCGTACCAGCACGTGACATACCATCTTCTCCCTCTTTTATCAACACCCATGGTTGAGCATCCTGTATGTACCCATTGCCTAATCTTGATAGATTTAGTGTATACTTTATTCCATCTCTAATCCTCGCATCTTCTAATGTTGCTATGTAGTTAGTTAATTCTAAGTTAATCTGGTCAATTAACTGCATGTCCACCTGTTTAAGATTTCCAACAGGTGGAACTATTCCATTGAAATTTTTCTTTGTGAATGCAAGTGAGCGATTAACGAAATTTCCTAAGTTGTTAAGAAGTTCGTTATTATTCTTAGACATCAGATCTGACCATGAGAATAAAGTGTCTTGTGTTTCAGGTCGCACATACAGCAGATAGAACCTGAATATATCAGCTGGAATTTTAGTCTCCCTTGCATTATCTCCAAACACACCCACACCCTTTCTCTTAGAAAACTTGCCTCCCTCATAGTTGAGGTACTCACTAGCGGAGATATGATGTAACAATGTGTACTCGTCCCCCGTGGTGATAAGACAAGAGGGGAACATGACGGTATGGAAAGGGACATTATCCTTTGCCATAAACTGATACAACAAGACATTATTCGGATTCTTCCACCATTTCTCCCACTGATCAGTGTAAGAAGCTGTTATAGAAATATAGCCAATTGGTGCATCGAACCAAACATAGAAAACTTTATCAGTGAATCCCTCTAGAGGAACAGGAGTGCCCCATTTGAGGTCTCTAGATATACACCGAGGCTTGAGACCCTCTTTAAACCAGGTGTTGGTTATAGAGCGTGAGTTTGGTGTCCAGTTACCGCGGGGAGCTGATTTAGCTACCCACTCTTCTACCTCTGGCTGCATGCGAGCCATGTCAAGGAAAATGTGCTGGCTCTTTTTAACGAATGGCCTGTTCTTACATATTTGACATTGAGGCTGTATTAGCTCTACTGCATTAATGAGCTTACTACAATTGTCACACTGATCACCTGAGGCATCATCGTAAGCACAGGAAGGGCACGTCCCGGTTATGAGTCTGTCAGCTAGGAATGTAGAGCAGTTCTCGCAGAACAGCTGTTCCACAGTCTCATCTTTGATAAATCCTCGCTTTTGTATCTTCCAGAATATTTCCTGAGCTATGTCAGTCTGATTCTGAGTAGAAGTACGACCAAATGTATCAAAACTTATTTCAAACCAATCGTATATGTTCTTGTGCTTCTTATAGTATTTATTACATACCTGCTGAGGGGTAACACCCTCCTGTACAGCCTTTATCTCAGTAGCTGTTCCATATTCATCAGTACCACACAAATACAGAGTCTGATAACCTCTAGCCCTACAGTAGCGAGCAAACACATCAGCTGACAATACACACCCAATTATATTACCGAGATGAGGAACATTATTGACATATGGAAGGGCGCTGGTAATGAGAATATTACGTTTGTCTGTACATGGTAAGATAGGATGTTTTATTTCAGGAGCAAGTAATGATACCTTGTCTAAATTCAAGGTTGGTAAGATTGGAGGTTTTGATAATTTCTCTCTTTTCAATTTATCAAATTTGGTTTCTTTTGTGTCCAACTTTCCATACCCAGTGAGACCTTGTGTTACACGCAGCCAATTATTTACAACAGGTAGTTTTTGTAAAACATTGTTAACTACCGGAGTGGTTGCTACCGTATTCACCCATTTGAGTAGCTTGGGGTAAGAAGCATTCATCTGAACAAGGAGTATAGGAGCAGTTAGTGGGAAGAGACTGGAGAATATTATGACGTCAGATATTGAGAGATTTTCTGGATCAGTGAGTGAGTATGCAGATTCTAGGGTTTGTAGAGAAACCTTTAGAGTGTCAGTGAGTGTGTGTTGTGAGAGAGAAGGATGTATTTGAGGTGAAATTGAGGAAGCTTCGAAACCAATCCAAGTGCGTGTATCTTTCGTCTCTGCCAAATTGTCTGGAATGTTAGATGATAAAGTGATTATGTATTTGCAAATCTCGTTAGAAGATAAGATGAAAATTCCTTTTTTCGTTTCAAGAGCTGCTCCTGCGACAATAACAGAATTGAGATAGATAGCTTCTTGTTCGATGTCTTCTTCTGTAACTAGGTGTCTCTGGAACAGCTGGTCCCAAGAGGAGTTGAGTAGAGAGAAGAGTATTTCAAACTTTAGTTTAGATACTCTACCAATGAGATTAGAGCAAACGATAAGGTCTGGTTTCTCAATGGAGTTAGCTGTTGCCATAAACGTGGTGTTAATATTATTCTTACTTCTTTAGACGAATGAATTTACTTCAAACAGAAACTAAAGCTAAGATAAATCTGCAAAATATGAATATAGCTTAGCGAACAGAAGTGAAGTAAAACAAAAAGTAACGTAGTCGGCAGGATTCGAACCTGCGCGGGTAAAACCCAATGGATTTCTAGTCCATCGCCTTAACCACTCGGCCACGACTACATATAAAAAGAAAGAATATGATGTTTCCTATTTCATGAATTAAGCGAAAGCCTCACGCCATCACATTGATTGTTTGAAGTAATGTCGAATGTCTTTCCACACTATTATACGAATTTAGCGGATGTTGATCAGGTTGGGAAGCAGTGCTAGTGGTATAGCTATCTTTGGAGAATTCCTGGAGCACTAGCATATCGCTACCGCTAGGTGCTAACTGTGGCTTAATACATGGCGTGAATCGCCACTACGCCACAGTTTGGTAGTACATAAGTAACTGTTGAAAAGTGCTCACACTTTGGAGCAAGCGGAGAGAGGTAAAAACTCCTATTCCTGACCTCGTTAGCCTGAACAGATCATATTCGTTCTATGATCTGTTCAGGCTTACGAGGTCAGGAATCATAGAAGTAGAGTGTGCATACTCAGTAGGTAAATATGAATCTTACATATGGTATGCTGGATTATTGCATTTGGTGAGTGTTGTTTAGAATTTTCCTTAGATTAGCGTCAGGAATGCTCCACAATGGCACTAAATGGCTAAAACCTGGAAGTAGGTATTAGGGTACTAGATAACGTATTAAACTATATTATTGACTTATGGGGATTCGTACCCAAGGAATCGATTGACGAAACTAGACTTTTTCTAAGTCTTTGGGCGTGAAAGTAATGACGTCATTGTCACATTCAAAATATTTTGATTTTTTATCGACTTTAATTAAGCCAATTCTTGAGTTATATGTTCAGAAATTGAATATTATATGTTTTGATATTATTAATACTGTATAATGTACATTTTTATCAACTTATGAAACCACATTTCTTGTTGAAAATGACCTACCGTTCATTGAACTACAAACTATAACGTATTTATAATTAGTGAATTCACCAAAATATCTTGACAGCTCTTTAACTCAGATAGATCTGGCTCCGAATCGTTTTTGGTAATATTACGAAAGGATGCTAAAATTGGATTACTTTGAGAGATAAGCCTGACGAACACATCTTTAACGTTGTCTTCAAAGCTAAATTTTCTTGAGAGTCTCTCACGGTATCGCCTGACCAATTTATTTCAAGATTCAAGGCCTTCTTCAGGCAAATCTTCTAAGCCAAACCCATCATTATGATTTGCAATTATTTTGAGGTGCATAGGCTAGAAGTTTATGTAAAGTAGGGGTTACATGTGCTCATCAAAAATTGATCAAAATGGATTTGTAAGTCTCTCGGCATACATTATCAAGGCCTTCAGTGTCCACTTTCCTGTTGCTATTATACAATCTCAGGATAGTACTCTAATTATTAAAGATTGTAGTGACAATTTGATGTGTCTCTTGAGGAGCAACCATCAATATCTAATAGAGAAAATCTTGTACAATATCATCGCTACCTGTGAAGCATCTCCAAACAACATTTCCGGTTGTGGTGGTTCCACCTTGGACTGATGGTGGTCAATGGATATACTAAGTTTTTCTTCAATGAGGCTAGTAATAAATTTCTTGGTCCCAACAATTTTTGGCGAAGTTGGTGACCATTTTTGAATAGCACCACACTGTAAATAGCAAATCAATAATAGGACCAACTAAATGTTCTCAAATATGCATGTAGAGGAGAAGCTGATATCTTTTTCTGAGATCGGTTTGTGTGTTAAAATGAATCTTTGATTTGTTGGCAAAGACAAAAATTCTTCCTCATCAACCTCGTCAAATACATCACGTGCATCATGGATTGTCCTATTTATGGGAAAGTTATTTTTAACTATGCTAATATTGTGTATCTGTTTGAACGTGCAGTACACATTTGACAATTAGCACCACCAGCACCGCTTAAGATTTTTGCCATCTTTGTATCGAAATGAGATCTTATGATCTTGACCTCTGCATTGGCATTGTGTAAACACAAACCATTCTCTTCAATAGTTGAAGTTTCGTTATTTATCAATGAGCCCATCAAAAACTTGACACTCTCTTCATTTTCTGGAATGGCTAAGAGGGCAACTGGCCGAGTGCAAATGGTGAATTCGGATGATGAGGTTTCCATAGGATATGATCATTTGCATTTATGATTGCGTTAACCTTGAAACCAAATAAAATGAAGGTTTTAGTCGAGAGAGGTCAGGGTTAGATATAGCTTGATGGTAAACTCGATGACACCCAGATCCATCTAAGCCATCGGATACTCGATGGTTGTAAGTGGAATATTATTGTATTTTATGACACTATTCTAAGTGTGTCCTGAATTTTACCCTGTATCTGTATCTGGAATTATCCACGGACCTATATGCATTTCATCATGCATACTCGACTTACTGAGCAAGCACATTCTACTTTTTAATTAATACGGCAGGAATTGAGTAATTTATTAAGATTAAACCATCCCTAATACAATTTAGTGTATACTGATTAGTTACGCTATTAATACAACTAAAGACTAAATTCTTGTGCATATAATAAAAATATCTTGAAATGTTCATCAAGATTAAATGTAGATTACTACTTACCAGAATATTATTTGTTCGTTTTCTCTGTACAGTCTTTTCGGAGTAACTTCAATATTATATTTCCCTATAGAGTCGGGGACAATCAATAGAAAAGACTGTTCTGATAATCCTATCATTGATGTAGGTAACCTGTTATTAGTAGACGAAAGTGTGATTCCTACTGTAGACGGACTAAAGATGAAGTTATATTGCGATTGGATGGTAATTTCTTTAGATATAGCGTATTCAGTTTTGTTTAGACTCAACCTAACCTTATATAGTCTATCTAAACAAAACAATCTCGGAGGATAATTCGTATACAATTTAGAAAATGCAGAGAGCTTATTTAGAATGTCATGATAAGTTTCATAGGGGAATGTTTCCAATTGACATTCAATGCTGAAGTTAGTACACGTTTTATCAGCACAATTATGACCGATTACACACTTGAACAAGGTAGGAAATATAGGGACCTTGATTTCATTCAAATCTATACTGAAAAAGGTTTTTCTTTTAATTGGAGCAGAGCCTGAATACATTCCATTAAATTGTAACAGCAGATCCCAAGCTTTGAATGGCAATAACTTCCAATCATCTTTATCATCCTCTTCCTCATTTGGATAGATCCCATCATGGTTGATTGGAATGCTCTCAGGAAATTCCCAGCTGTCGTTAGTTTGAGGATTATCATAATTAATCGAATTTTTAAATTTAGAGAACCAAATTTGTGTAACTACATACCATTCTTCATTAAACTGCGGCTCAATGGATAGAAGAGATTGTAACTTAGTTCGGAATTTTGATTTTGGCAAAAAAGGAACTATTTTGATAAGATTATCCAATGAAGATTCCAATGTAGAAATTTCTAATGTAACGTGTGTAAGAAGTTTTTGTGACCTTTCAAAGTGTAATATTTGTTTATCAAGAAGAGATTTTTGTGCTTCAAGAAATGGTTTTAATGTATTTGTATCCAATGAGTCATTCAAAGTAGGAATAAGCTTTTTGAAACGTTGCAAGTCATTCCTGACTTGTATTAGCCCTGGCTTATTGATCGCTTCAAGCTGATCCAACTCTGATAATAGCTCTAATTCTTTCTTATCTAACATCTGATGATATGCTATAAAATGTGTTTTTATAGATTCTCTAGCTTCATTAATTGAAAGATAATTATCATCAATTGGCGCTGGGGTGGAAAATACTGACTCAAATTCATTGGGCTTTGCGATAGGCGAAGTGCTAAAAGCAACAGCCATTCCAGTACAATCTTATTAGAGACTAGTATATTGATTAATTAATTGAATTATAAATATTTAGATTAGAAAATAGTTGTTGCATCATGCATCGATAGCAGGACCATAAATGGGGAAGTACCAATTTACATTGCGTCTAATAAATGGATATATGAAGAAGTAGCTTACAAAAGCATAATTAAAAAAAGTAGTAAACAAACTAGTAAACAGTTTATAATATCTCCTTAGCAGCATCATCTGCTACTAAATAACAACCAGGAATTACAAAATATAAACTAAAGTGTCCAGCGAGTAAACTTGGTTATTTAATTGGTCGAATAGCTGAACTTTCGTCTCAGGAAATTTCGTATCCGGAATTTAAAAGCAGCCGCACAAACTTGATTAAAATACACAAACTAACCCACAACCTATTGTGTAAGTAATTCGAGACTATTAACATCTTAATCATATAAGTGTTTCTTCTTTAACTCAAACGTAACATACTTTAATATGGCTGAAGTTCTCTCAATTGAATTGCTCAAGAGTACTCAAGGAAAAAATAAAGCTGCTATCCGAGGATTTGAGTATACTTTGGTTATGTCAGTGGATGATATTGAACGTATCCGAACATTAGTTTGACTACGCAAATCGGGATACCATTACCTATCTTAAGGGAATAGGACATAACTTTGACTTTTAATATATTTTCATTTATAACTTTACTTGAAATTATACTATTCACTTATTAAACACGAAAATTCCAAGAGACCAAATTTGCGGATACGAGATTTCCTGAGACAAAAGTTCCGTTTACCAGTTAATACATGGTCTTTCATATGTGCAATATATTCATGTCCAGAATAAGGAATGACTAGGCTGAGTCGGCTCGAATAATCGCCACCTCAAAGAGTGTTGTATATAATTAAAAATAGGTTAGTGCAAAATAATGGGGGCACAGAGCACACTTGGTCACATTAATGAATACTGCAAGCATGTACACTAGACTTTTTATTATATGCCTCGCTCTTAGATTTCTAGCAACACACCAGATTTTGTATTACCATTCAATGCGTAGTATATTAAATTATATAATATACATTTCACTAGCTACTACACCCACATAGTACTCTAATCTATTCCTAAGTCATTCAAATGTATAATAATTCATTTCTTCTTCCCTACTTTAGCTATATCCGTAGAAATACCATCTCGACAGGTTAAATAGTTGAGAGCACTGTCAGCCTCTCCAACCTTACGCAAATATCCACTAATGACGTATTTCTTGGCGCCAATCATCTTCCCTTCTTGATCTAATTCAGCTACAGATAGCTGAACAGCTGCGTGGTCCTTGGCAGTGATCAGTCTGTTGGTGAAGGAGCATTTACGAGGGAAATAAAGCTCAACATTAACTCCTGCGTCGTTCTGCATTCTTACAAAGAAACAAAAATAATATTCTAATGAGAATGAGGAAAATCAATTCAATAAAGGATCATATGCAAGATTGAGAGATTATACAGTGGAATACGGAAAAGACGGCCCTTTGGGAAACAAAAACAAAACATTAACCGAAGTACTGTAGATACACCATATATAAGGATACTCAGGATTGAGAAGTTCTTGTACGCCGTATCCACTGTACGTATTTATCTGATTGTTTTAAAGTTCTTCTGTATTATGAAAGAAATTTTGGCAGTATGAGCATTCCTATGGTAATTGTAATGTATAAATCAATAAAATTTGACTATAATGAGTAACACAATTAAAACTTCGTATTTTTTCCTTTTTTGGCATCTACATAGTAATAGGATTCAATGTGAATGGCACAACTGCCAAAAAGAATGCGTTGGCCGGGAATCGAACCCGGGTCAACTGCTTGGAAGGCAATTATTCTAACCACTATACTACCAACGCAAGTAAGTATTAATATATACTCGTATTCCTTATAACTAATTTAAATTTACACCTGACGATAAACCAATATAGCTACCGTCTGGATTAAAAACAAAGAAGGGAAAATGTCATTATTAGCAAATGGTTTCAGCTATACAGCCTACCGACATGACCTATCTGGTTTGATATTCGACCCAACCCGACCTGCCAGTCGAATGTCCGATCAATCTTAAACCCAACTTGAAGTGGAGGGGTAGAAGAATGATTTTTCTCTAGGAACCAATGGTTCATACAGAATGTTTGCTTCTCCAACTGTTAAATCAGTTCTCAAGGGCCATACTTTATTCACCCAATGATCTTTGCAGGCTCTGCTGTCCCATAAACATATAAAACAGGGGTACTAATTGTATCCACCTTGTTTGCCAAGTAGAAAGTTTACCATCTTGAGATCAACACATATCAACGACTGTTGTTCATGATATTTCAATTTTTGCAATACCATTTAAATATTTTCATACTCCTCCTTAAGCTTTTTTGAATGTCCAATTGGAATAGATGCATATTTATTTCCATTATGCAATAAAACGCACTTCGAGCTTCTCTTGGAACTATCAATGAATAGACGCCAATCTTCTGGTCTATATTGTGGTGCTCCCATTTCCAGGAGAAGTCTTCCAATGTCATTGCAGAAGACGAGGCCTTCTTGTTGGCTAAAGTAATGAATGTATCCTTCTTCTCTATGACGATAATATGCTATCTTAGTTCCAGGGCTAAGAATATTCTTCTCGTTGAGCTTGGATGCAATATTTCTGAACACTCTTTAGACAGGTTGAGGTCCCTGATTAGATCATTGAGCTCTTCCTGATTGAATTGACCAGATAATGAAGAGCTGTCTTGGTCTCCAAGCTTCACCTCAAAGTAAGCCTTTCGCACGAAGTTTGAGAGACCTCTTCTCTGATCTTTCAACGTATATTCACCACACATGCAACAGAACGTATTAGGATCATTAGAACATTTTCTTCTTGATGATGCCATAGAGTTAGAATATGCTAGATACTTATAATTATAAAACTATTGATTAAATTGAATATACATTTGAAAAGGTAACTAACAATATATACATAAATGTAGACTAAAATCAAGAGCCAATCCAGCAAAGCCGATGTCATTTTCGAACTCAGCACAGCAAATATAGTCTAAATTCAATCTCAAATCTTAGGCAACAGGAACAAAAATATTATTTGTTGGCCTGTGTTATGAGCTATTATTAACCTGTGGTGGATTGTTGAATTGCTAATATGATATTGTATTTTTACTACAATGTTTGCTCTTGATTACATATAGCAGTGTTTCTCAAGCTGGAGTCCATGATCCTAGAGTGTCCGAAACCCCAGTCCCAGACCTGGGGGTCCCGATCTCATAAAATTGACCAAAGCGGGTACGCGAGTGAAAAAATGTTGAGACTACTCACATGTAGTACTAATCAATGAAATTCGGTTAGTACGCCTTTTCAGGTCGCTCAGGCGTTACAAAATGCAATAATTCTTTATACAGTATTAGAGTCCGCTTATCAACAATTCGTATAATTTCACTCTCTATAGAGGTAACCTCTTCAGAACAGGTTAAAGGGGCGCAAAGAAATTTGAATGAATTTCAGATCAAAAAGCAATAGAGAATGAAAGAGTTTCAGATTAAAAGGTTACTAAAACAATGAAACATGAATAAAGAAAAAATTGAATTCGCCAAGCTCATAATACAAAAGACGATCATGTACAATTAACCCCCTTCGTGTAGTGGTTAAATTTAGGGCATGAGGATCGAACGATCATTGATCGCTCGATCACGATCGAGATACTTTTTTGACGATCTGGGGACGATCGGCGATCATTGTTTTATTCAGGATCGGATGTAAGATCGCGATCCATTTTTGCACAAAAATTTTGGATCATTTTTGTATACTTTGAATGCTACTATCGTTAGCGGTATTTTACTTAGGTTATTGTTCCAAATTTGTGTTCAACAATCAGTAATATTCGTTCGTAGAATGCGTTGATTCTCCACCTAAGTTTCTTTTGGCATAAGAAATGATGTAACTATCAAAAATATGTCTTGAATATTACACAAACGATCGGAAAAATGATCGAGATCGGGATCGCGATCTTGTTTAACACGATCGACTAATGCCTTAGTTAAACGTATATGGACAATTAATAAACAAAAATAAACACAATCACATATTTCCCTAAAAGTAAACAAATATTTACAATATGTTATTTACAATATCATAATCGGACTCAGGAGACTCGATTACCCCAGTATAGTCCTTGAAAGTATGAATCTACAACAATGTTAAAGTTTATTTACTTTATGTACCTATAAGTTAACAAAAATTCGCAATATGTTATTTACAATATCATAATCGGACTCAGGAGACTCGATTACCCCAGTATAGCCTTTGAAAGCATGATTCTGCCACAATCTAAAATGTGTTTACTTTATGCATCGAAAGTAAACAGATATTAACCATATGTTACTAGAAACTGCTGGAAACTGCTAGAAACTGCTATAAAGCGCTAGAAACTGCTAGAAACTGCTAGAAACTGCTGGAAACAATTGGAAACTGTGCGAAACTGTGGGAAACTGGACGAAACTGTGCGAAACTGCTGGAAACTGTGGGAAACGGTGCGAAACTGCGCGAAACTGTGCGAAACTGTGCGAAACTGCTGGAAACTGTGCGAAACTGTGGGAAACTGTGCGTAACTGTGGGAAACTGGGCGAAACTGTGCGAAACTACTGGAAATTGGGCGAAACTGCTGGAAACTACTGGAAACTGCTGGAAACTGTGGGAAACTGCTGGAAACTACTGGAAACTGCTGGAAACTGTGGAAACTGCTGGAAACTGCTGGAAACTGTGGAAACTGCTGGAAACTGTGCGAAACTGCTGGAAACTGTAGGAAACTGTGCGAAACTGCTGGAAATTTTAAGACATTGATAACTTCACTAAATTTCTCGAATATGCTGAATCCAACTTTCACACTTTGGATTAATCATATGTAAATTTATTTTTGTTTTTATGAGATTATGCTCAACAAATTCTCCACTTCTCAAAATATGCGTACAGCTTGCTCTAAACGGCTATCCAGGGGTATCTCAGTACGCTGAATCCGAATTTGGCGTTTTCAAGTTTCTCATATGTAAATTTATTGTTGTTTTTATGAATATACAGTAAACAAATTTCCAAATTGTGGTAGATTCATGCTTTCAACGACTATCCTGGGGTATTCAAGTATGCTGAGTCCGAATATGATATTGTACATAACATATTGTGAATATTTGTTTACTTTTAGGAACATAAAGTAAACAAATTTTAACAATGTGGTAGATTCATACTTTCAAAGACTACCCTGGCGTTCTCGAGTATGCTGAGTTCGAATATGGCAATGTTTGCTTTGTTTGTCCGTTGATATGCAAATTTATTGTTGTTTAAATGAATATAAAGTAAGCAATTTCGCAAATTTTCGTAGGTACTCGCTCTCAACGGCTTCAAAGGGGGTTGACCTTACAAAATATTTCAATAATATATACGTATATTTGTGAATTACATTGTTCTATATATCTATATTATAATACTGAAAGGGGCCGCCTATTTGGAGAATGGATACCTTGAGGCGCAATGCCCCGAGTTCATCGCGAAGCGACGAGCCAAAGGCTCGTATAAAAGAGAATGAAAGCAACAAGTAGCATTATATACGCGTCAAATATAGTAACAATGGTAAGACAAGGAATGTGCACGAAGAACCCGGAGAAATATTTGATTGATACGAATAATAACCAAGGAAAACAAACCTTCGAAAGAATGCACCAGGCACTGTCATATTACTAGGAATACATAAACGAGAAAACACGGAATCAAATACATGAACTTAAAAGAGTAGAACATCATCAAAAAGCATGATAAAGAACAAATGAAATACGGAAAGTAAACAAAGTTAACAATATGAAGATTTATAATACACTCGTTTTGAGTAAAATGCACAACACATCAATAAGCTGTTTAGTATTAGTACCTTTCAAGTAAGATTGAACTGTAACCCTTTTCGGGTACAATTTACCTCTCTCATGGACAATTGATCTCTTTCGTGTACAATTAACATCTCTAGTCTACTATCATCCCTTTTCGTGTACAATTAATGTTTATAATTTTTTCTTTCTTATATTTCTTATTCATTTAATTTCTTTATTCCTTTTCCTTCTATTTGATTCTAATTTTCATTTTAAATTTAATTCATTCTTTTAAGCAACACAGAACAAATAAGTGCATATCACCCCTAATAATCACGATACGATAATATAAGCAAGAAGATAATAGGTTGATATAATAAGTGATTTAGATGCTCAGATACAATTAGAATAATAAGTTCCACAACCGATTACTATCTCAGTTGCTGATTACCTTAGCTCCAACCCATTTAGGGACAGATACGGGAACATAATCATCAGCATCCTCATTCTCAGGAGGAGGCTGCTCTTCTAGCACATATTGTCCCTCCTGTCTGCTATCATTCTGTTCGAATGAGTACACAGCTTGTCCTTGTGGTTGATCCTGCAGGAAGGTGGCTTGCAGTGTGATACCGTTAGTATGCACTAATCTCCCCTCCCCTTCTCTCCTACCGTTAGCCCAAGCACCCTCATATCTGCTCTTAGTATCATTCCAAGTATATACACCCTGTCCGTGTCTCTTGTCGTCAAACCATTCACCTTCAAATATATCCCCATTTGTATAGGTGTATAAACCGGACCCATGGCGCTTGTTCTCTACCCATGACCCTTCGTATTTGGACCCGTCAGGGTAGATGAAAGTACCTTGTCCATGCTTCTTGTTTTCTACATATTCACCGTCGTATCGAGCCCCATTCTTGAACCTGTACTTACCCAATCCGTGACGCTTACCAAACTGGTATTTACCTTCAAAAGAGTCCTTGTTTGAAAATGTTGCTTTTCCATGTCCGTGTCTTTCATCT